TTCGTCTATTTTTTTTTTTTTAAATAAGTGAATAACTTTCAGGGATACTTAAGTTGTACAGTTTAAACTATATACCAAATATAGAAATTTCTTTTGAAAATTGTTTTTATTAAGTATATATTTAAAATATGACTTTAAAAGAACGTTTATTAATTTATTTAACAATTTTATGTGTTTATCTGCAAAAGACCAATAAACAAAGGCAAGAGATTGGTTGAGTAAGTGTTTGGCAAACTTATTTCAGAATTGCCAAGTTTTGTATTCACTTTTAGGTGCTTTTTTTTGTTTCTTTTTTTAAAGAACATTAATTTTAATATTGTAATCTTGTTTTATGTTCTAACCCCCTTCCCTTGCAGGAGCCTGGACAGAAGGGCTTTACTAGGTCTGTAGGGTTGTAGGATAGGACATTAGGTGCGCGAGACCGTACAGTACGCTTCTGGGTGACGGCATTGCGCTTTCCGCGTCCGACGGGCCTCGGTCCTGACGACCGAGGGAGTGGGGGGGGAGCAAGCCGAGGATTCGGTCGCGTCCTGGAGAGAGATGTTAGTAGGGGAGCGAGCCGAGGAGTCAGTCGCGTCCCGAAGAGGGATGGCAGTGCGGGAGCGAGCTTAGGAGTCGGTCGAGTCCCGGAGAGAGATGGCATTGCGGGAGCGAGCCGAGGAGTCGGTCGCGTCCCGGAGAGAGAAAGCCCTAGGGGAACGAGCCGACGAGTCGGTCGCGTCCCAGAGAGAGAAGGCAGTGCGGGAGCGAGCTGAGGAGTCGGTCGCGTCCCGGAGAGAGATGGCAGAGCGGGAGCGAGCCGAGGTTTCGGTCGCGTCCCGGAGAGTGATGGTAGTAGGGGAGCGAGCCGAGGAATCGGTCGCGTCCCGGAGAGCGATAACAGTGTGGGAGCGAGCCGAGGAGTCGGTCGCGTCCCGGAGAGAGATGGCAGTGCGAGAGCGAGTCGAGGATTCGGTCGCGTCCCGGAGAGAGATGGCAGTGCGGGAGCGAGTCGAGAATTCGGTCGCGTCCCGGAGAGAGATGGCAGTGCGGGAGCGAGCCGAGGATTCTGTCGCGTCCCGGAGAGAGATGGTAGTAGGGGAGCGAGCCGAGGAGTCGGTCGCGTCCCGGAGAGAGATGGCAGTGCGGGAGCGAGCCGAGGATTCGGTCGCATCCCAGAGAGAGATGGCAGCGCGGGACCAAGACGAGGATTCGGTCGCGCCAAGGAGAGAGAAAGTATTAGGGGAGGGAGAGGAGGTGTCATTTGTATCCGAAAGTTAGATGGCAGTGCGGGATCGAGCCGAGGAGTCGGTCACGTCCCGGAGAAAGATGGCAGTGCGGGAGCGAGCCGAGGATTCGGTCGCTACCCGGAGAGAGATGGCAGTGCGGGACCAAGCCTAGGATTCGGTCGCGTCCCGGTGAGAGAAAGTATTAGGGGAGGGAGAGGAGGTGTCATTTGTATCCGAAAGTGAGATTGCAGTGCGGGAGCGAGCCGAGGAGTCTGTCGCGTCCCGGAGAGAGATTGTAGTGCGGGAGCGAGCCGAGGAGTCGGTCGCGTTCCGGAGAGAGATGGAAGTGCGGGAGCGAGCCGAGGAGTCGGTCGTGTCCCGGAGAGAGAAAGTATCAGGGGAGACGAGGAGGCGTCATTTGTATCCGAAAGCGAAAGTGAGATTGCAGTGCGGGAGCGAGCCGAGGAGTCGGTCGCGTCCAAGACAGTTATGGCAGTGCGGGAGCGAGCCGAGGAGTCGGTCGCGTCCAGGAGAAAGATGGCAGAGGAGGTGCCATTTGAGGAGTCGGTCGCGTCCCGGAGAGAGATGGCAGTGCAAGAGTGAGCCGAGGATTCGGTCGCGTCCCGGAGAGATGTGACAGTGCGGGAGTGAGCCGAGGATTCGGTCGCGTCCCGGAGAGAGATGGCAGTGCGGGAGCGAGCCGAGGAGTCGGTCGCGTCCCGGAGAGAGATGGTAGTGCGGGAGCGAGCCGAGGAGTCGGTCGCGTCCCGAAGAGAGATGGCAGTGCGGGAACGAGCAGAGGAGTCGGTCGCGTCCCGGAGAGAGAAAGTATTAGGGGAGGGAGAGAAGGCGTCATTTGTATCCGAAAGTGAGATTGCAGTGCGGGAGCGAGCCGAGGAGTCGGTCGCGTCCAAGAGAGATATGGCAATGCGGGAGCGAGCCGAGGAGTCGGTCGCGTCCAGGAGAAAGATGGCAGTGCGGGAGAGAGCCGAGGAGTCTGTCGCGTCCAGGAGAGAGATGGCAGTGCGGGAGCGAGCCGAGGAGTCGGTCGCGTCCCGGAGAGAGATGGCAGTGCGGGAGCGAGCCGAGGAGTCGGTTGCGTCCCGGAGAGAGAAAGTATTAGGGAAGAGAGAGGAGGTGTCATTTGTATCCGAAAGTGAGATTGCAGTGCGGGAGCGAGCCGAGGATTCGGTTGCGTCCCGGAGAGAGATTGCTGTGCGGGAGCGAGCCGAGGAGTCGGTCGCGTCCCGGAAAGAGATGGAAGTGCGGGAGCGAGCCGAGGAGTCGGTTGCGTCCCGGAGAGAGAAAATATTAGGGGAGGGAGAGGAGGTGTCATATGAATCCGAAAGTGAGATTGCAGTGCGAGAGCGAGCCGAGGATTCGGTTGCGTCCCGGAGAGAGATTGCAGTGCGGGAGCGAGCCGAGGAGTCGGTCGCGTCCCGGAGAGAGAAAGCATTAGGGGAGGGAGAGGAGGTGTCATTTGTACCCGAAAGTGAGATGGCAGAGCGGGAGCGAGTCGAGGAGTTGGTCGCTTCCCGGAGAGAGATTGCTGTGCGGGAGCAAGCCGAGGATTCGGTCGCGTCCAGGAGAGAGATAGTAGTGCGGGCGCGAGCCGAGGATTCGGTCGCGACCCGGTGAGATGTTTTAGTGCGGGAGCGAGCCGAGGATTCGGTCGCGTCCCGGAGAGAGATGGCAGTGCGAGAGCGAGCCGAGGAGTCGGTCGCGTCCCGGAGAGAGATGGTAGTGCGGGAGCGAGCCGAAGAGTCGGTCGCGTCCCGTAGAGAGATGGCAGTGCGTGAGCGAGCAGAGGAGTCAGTCGCGTCCCAGAGAGAGATGATTATTCTGAACGAGGATTGAGGGTCAGGAGACTCAATTTGACAATTGTTTTCTTTTTGTCCAGTTTATAAATCTTTCAAAAACACAAGTAGTTTTCTATAAGGAATTTTTCCAATTGAACTCAGAACATGCAATACTAATGTACTGTGTTGAGTTCGATCTCTTTTGGACGAAGATTTCCCGTGTAGTAAATGGTGACGTGTGCACGTGAAATTAGTTGAGTCACAAAGTCCTCCATGTTCCCGTAACAAATCAATAACTCTAGTGGTACTGAATTGAAGACTGGTATTCATCTGGTTCAAGTCAAAATTACGATCTGTGGATGAATAAATGGATGTATGAATGTGTCCTCCCTATTAACAGGCTGTGACGCGTGAGTGTGACTGATGCATTCTTGGTTATTGATACCGTTGCGGGAAAACAATGTAAAACTTGATCCCAGTCCCGGAGAGAGATGGCAGGGCGGGAGTGAGCCGAGGATTCGGTCGCGTCCCGGAGAGAGAAAGTATTAGGAGAGGGAGAGGAGGAGTCATTTGAATCCGAAAGTGAGAAGGCAGTGTGGAAGCGAGCCGAGGCCTCGGTCGCGTCCCGGAGAGAGAAGGCAGTGCGGGAGCGAGTCGAGGCTTCGGTCGCGTCCCGGAGAAAGATGGCAGTGCGGGAGCGAGCCGAAGCTTCGGTCGCGTCCCAGAGAAAGACGGCAGTGCGGGAGCGTGGCGAGGTTTCGGAAGCGTCCCAGAGAGAGACGGCAGTGCGGTTGCGAGCCGAGGATTCGGTTGCGTCCCGGAGACAGACGGCAGTGCGACAGCGAGCCGAGGTTTCGGTCGCGTCCCAGATAGAGATGGCAGTGCGACAGCGAGCCGAGGTTTCAGTCGCGTCCCAGATAGAGATGGCAGTGTGGGAGCAAGCCGAGGAGTCAGTCACGTCCCGGAGAGAGATGGCAATGCGGGAGCGAGCCGGGGCCTCGGTCGCGTCCCGGAGAGAGAAGGCAGTGCGGGAGCGAGCCGAGGCTTCGGTCGCGTCCCGGAGAGAGATGGCAGTGCGGGTGCGAGCCGAGGTTTCGGAAGCGTCCCAGAGAGAGATGGCAGTGCGGGAGCGAGCCGAGGATCCGGTCGCGTCCCAGAGAGAGATGGCAGTGCAGGAGCGAGCCGAGGATTCGGTCGCGTCCCGGAGACAGATGGCAGTGCGAGAGCGAGCCGAGGATTCGGTCGCGTCCCGGAGAGAGAAAGTATTAGGGGAGGGAGAGGAGGTGTCATTTGTATCCGACAGTGAGAAGGCAGTGAGGGAGCGAGCCGAGGAGTCAGTCACGTCCCGGAGAGAGATGGCAATGCGGGAGCGAGCCGAGGATTCGATCGCGTCCCGGAGAGAGATGGCAGTGAGGGAGCGAGCCGTGGACTCGGTCGCGTCCCGGAGAGAGATGGCAGTGCGGGAGCGAGCCGATGAGTCGGTCGAGTCCCGGGGAGAGAGATGGCAGTGCGAGAGCGAGCCGAGGAGTCGGTCGCGTCCCGCAGAGAGAGATGGCAGGGCGGGAGCGAGTCGAGGAGTCGGTCGCGTCCCGGAGAGAGAAGGTATTAGGGGAGGGAGAGGAGGAGTCATTTGTATCCGAAAGTGAGAAGGCAGTGCGGGAGCGAGCCGAGGAGTCGGTAGCGTCCCGGAGAGAGAAAGTATTAGGGGAGGGAGTGGAGGTGTCATTAGTATGCGAAAGTGAGAATGCAGTGCGGGAGCGAGCCGAGAAGTCGGTCGCGTCCCGGAGAGAGATGGCAGTGCGGGAGCGAGCCGAGGAGTCGGTCGCGTCCCGGAGAGAGAAAGTATTAGGGGAGGGAGAGGAGGTGTCATTTGTATCCGAAAGTGAGAATGCAGTGCGGGAGTGAGCCGAGGAGTCGATCGTGTCCCTGAGAGAGAAGGCAGTGCGGGAGCGAGCCGAGGAGTCGGTCGCGACCCAGAGAGATGGCAGTGCGGGGAGAGAGATGGCAGTGCGGGAGCGAGTCGAGGAGTCGGTCGCGTCCCGGAGAGAGATGGCAGTGCGGGAGCGAGCCGAGGTTTCGGTCGCATCCCGGAGAGAGATGGCAGAGCGGGAGCGAGCCGAGGAGTCGGTCGCGTAACGGAGAGAGATGGTAGTAGGGGAGCGAGCCGAGGAGTCGGTCGCGACCCAGAGAGATGGCAGTGCGGGGAGAGAGATGGCAGTGCGGAAGCGAGTCGAGGAGTCGGCCGCGTCCCGGAGAGAGATGGTAGTAGGGGAGCGAGCCGAGGAGTCGGTCGCGTCCCGGAGAGTGATGACAGTGCGGAAGAGAGTCGAGGAGTTGGTTTAGTCCCGGAGAGAGATGGCAGTGCGGGAGCGAGCCGAGGAGTCGGTCGCGTCCCGGAGAGAGATGGCAGTGCTTGAGCGAGCCGAGGATTCGGTCGCTTCCCGGAGAGAGATGGCAGTGAGGGAGCGAGCCGTGGACTCGGTCGCGTCCCGGAGAGAGATGGCAGTGCGGGAGCGAGCCGAGGAGTCGGTCGCGTCCCGGAGAGAGAAAGTATTAGGGGAGGGAGAGGAGGTGTCATTTGTATCCGAAAGTGAGAATGCAGTGCGGGAGCGAGCCGAGGAGTCGATCGTGTCCCGGAGAGAGAAGGCAGTGCGGGAGCGAGCCGAGGAGTCGGTCGCGACCCAGAGAGATGGCAGTGCGGGGAGAGAGATGGCAGTGCGGGAGAGAGTCGAGGAGTCGGTCGCGTCCCGGAGAGAGATGGCAGTGCGGGAGCGAACCGAAGTTTCGGTCGCGTCCCGGAGAGAGATGGCAGAGCGGGAGCGAGCCGAGGAGTCGGTCACGTCCCGGAGAGTGATGGCAGTGCGGGAGCGAGCCGAGGCTTCGGTCGCGTCCCGGAGAGATGGCAGTGCGGGGAGAGACGAGGAGTCGGTCACGTCCCGGAGAAAGATGGCAAAGCGGGAGCGAGCCGAGGAGTCGGTCGCGACCCAGAGAGATGGCAGTGCGGGGAGAGAGATGTCAGTGCGGGAGCGAGTCGAGGAGTCGGTCGCATTAGTTACTGTAGTTTACTGTTTAGTTTACTGTATTCCCTTTTATCCCGAGCCGAGGAGTCGGTCGCATCCCTGAGAGACATGGTAGGAGGGGAGCGAGCCGAGGAGTCGGTCGAGTCCCGGAGAGAGATGGCAGTGCGGGAGCGAGCCGAGGATTCGGTCGAGTCCCGGAGAGAGATAGCAGTTCGGGAGCGAGCCGAGGAGTCGGTCGCGTCCCGGAGAGAGATGGCAGTGCGGGAGCGAGCCGAGGAGTCGGTCGCGTCCCGAGAGAGATGGCAGTGCGGGAGCGAGCCGAGGAGTCGGTCGCGTCCCGGAGAGAGATGGCAGTGCGGGAGCGAGCCGAGGAGTCGGTCGCGTCCTGGAGAGAGATGGCGGTGCGGGAGCGAGTCGAGGAGTCGGACGCGTCCCGGAGAGAGATGGCAGTGCGGGAGCGAGCCGAGGAGCCAGTCGCGTCCCGTAGAGAGATGGCAGTGCGGGAGCGAGCCCAGGAGTCGGTTGCGTCACGGAGAGAGATGGCAGTGCGGGAGCGAGCCGAGGACTCGGTCGCGTCCCGGAGAGAGATGGCATTGCGGGAGCGAGCCGAGGATTCGGTCGCGTCCCGGAGAGAGATGGCAGTGCGGGAGCGTGCCGTGGACTCGGTCGCGTCCCGGAGAGAGATGGCAGTGCGGGAGAGAGCCGAGGAGTCGGTCGCGTCCCGGAGAGAGAGGGCAGTGCGGGAGCGAGCCGAGAAGTCCGTCGCGTCCCGGAGAGAGATGGCAGTGAGGGAGCGAGCCGAGGAGTCGGTCGCGTCCCGGAGAGAGATGGCAGTGCGGGAGCGAGCCGAGGAGTCCGTCACGTCCCGGAGAGAGATGGCAGTGCGGGAGCGAGCCGAGGAGTCTGTCACGTCCCGAGGAGAGATGGCAGTGCGGGAGCGAGCCGAGGAGTCGGTCGCATCCCAGAGAGAGATGGTAGGAGGGGAGCAAGAAGAGGTGTCTTTCGCGTCCCGAAGAGAGATGGCAGTGCGGGAGCGAGCCGAGGAGTCGGTCGAGTCCCGGAGAGAGATGGCTCTGCGGGAGCGAGCCGAGGAGTCGGTCGAGTCCCGGAGAGAGTTGGCATAATCGTAAACCCATAAATGGGTCTGCCATCTACCCTGGTTGTGCAATAAATTCAGTTGGATATCTCTTTTTGCACTAAGCTAACCTGTTGAAAGTTTTCGAGAACAGACTTCCGTGGTTCCTACTGTAAACCCTGCAATGACAATTAACGTCTTTAGAATTAAGTGTTTACATAGTTGTCATACTGACCGTAACCTATTTTCCTTGAAGGAAAGTAAAATTATTTTCTTAAGAAACGTAAACATAATCTTGTCAAATGTTTCCAATTTCATGCATTTCCAGAGATTTTATTTTGTTTTATTCAACGTAATAGCTGTTTTTTACTGTTTAAAAAATTTGAATATATCATTCTCACTTTGATTTGTGAGAGCATGAAGGTTATGGTAAATTTATAGCAAGTATACTTATTAAACTAAAAAAATGAAAGAGATTGAATTTTTTTTTATACGAAATGACAACTTAAGCCGTTGTGATTTACCAAAGCTTTTACTGTTCCAGTTTTTTGTCTGTTCTTCCTTAAAAAAAAGTTTCAAGATTTGAATTTCATTTACTGTAATATATTTCCATTCAGAACTAATCTTTTTTACTCGTAGCTTTGTAATTTGAACTTTGCAGTTTTTTAAAAATACTTTATTAGTAAACGAGTTGTGTATAAAACCAAAGGTTATATCTATGTGAAAGTTCTAAAAGAGTGGTTTTTTTCTTCTTCATAGTTTGCTGTTTTACTTATTCTACTTTAAAGTGGTAGCAAATATTTGTATTGTATGATGATACTTTTGATATTGTGTTAATTTTTTCGAGCTTACATTGTAGATGTTGTTCCATTTTGTTACTTATGTAAGACTTCTTTTACCATAATGCA